GAATAGAATAGAATAGAATAGAATAGAATAGAATAGAATAGAATAGAATAGAATAGAATAGAACTCTTTATTGAGGCCCTGTATACTGCATGGGGGACCTGGTGGCTCGGTGGCTAAGGACGCTGAGCCTATTGATCAGAAATGTCAGCGGTTTGGCAGTTCGAATCCCTAGCACCACGTAACAGAGTGAGCTCCTGTTCTATCCTATCCTATTCTATTCTTCCCAGCAAGACTGTCCAATTAACCATTATTTTCTCACTTCCAGGGATTCTTTAATTTGGCTCTTCTTCTGGAAGAAGGTTATTCTCTCCCAAGTTATATTTTTGATCGTTTAGAAATTGGCAGCACTGTCCACTCCAGAAATATGTCCCTCCGTCAAGAGCTTTACGAAAGGTAAGCCTGTTCTCTCTCTCTCTCTCTCTCTCTCTCTCTCTCTTTCTTTCTTTCTATTTTTTAACAGATACTGAAGTCAGAGTTGAATGTTTAGAATGGTGTCTGTAGAAGATGAGCACAAATGAGTTGTGGGAATGAAGCCTTCAACTTCTTCTGCACAAATGCTTGAAAGAAAGAGGACTTTTATTTTTTATTTGTAAACATGGCAGAGATTGCAACAAATTGCCGAAGCAGCTTTGACCAAAATCTGAGTGATTATTCTGGAGCCTCGGAAAAAAAAATAGAGACAAGGTGAATTCTGGTTCCAAAATGTGGACAATTGTCACTTCTAGCCGAGAGCCATGACAAGCAAGATATATGTTTGGCAACAGGGCAGCCTTTCAAAGGAGATCAGATTCAAATGCAGAAATATATATATATATATATAAAATAGGCATAATAGGCCCTTCCAATCGCCTCCGACCTGTAATTAACTTTGTTATTTTTGCTTCAGTCATGTTGGTTTCACATGCAAGGGCTAAATTGATTAATGATATATAAAGGCATAGATCTCTGTAATGGTAGTTTAATACTCTGACAATGTCAGCAGAAGCTGACAAAAGCTTAGTAAGTATAATAAATATAATTTTAGTTCCAGAGATCGCAATTTGTCTTACATGTGTGTGTGTGTGTGTGCGTGCGTGCACGCGTGCGCACACGTGTGTGTATAATCATCCCATCTTTGGTTGAACAATGTGTTATCTGGGTACAAATATCTTTGCTAAAGAATAATCAAAATCACAACATCCTTTATTATACACTGCTCAAAAAAATAAAGGGAACACTTAAACAACACAATGCAAGTCCCAAATCAATCACACTTCTGTGAAATCAAACTGTCCACTTAGGTAGCAACACTGATGGACAATCAATTTCGCGTGCTGTTCTGCAAATGGAATAGACAAGAGGTGGAAAGCACAGGCAGTTAGCAAGACATCCCCAATAAAGGAGTGGTTCTGCAGGTGGTGACCACAGACCACTTCTCCATTCCGATGCTTTCTGGCTGATGGTTTGGTCACTTTTGAATGCTGGCGGTGCTTTCACTCTAGTGGTAGCATGAGACGGAGTCTACAACCCACACAAGTGGCTCAGGTAGTGCAGCAGCTCATCTAGGATGGCACATCAATGCAAGTTGTGGCAAGAAGGTTTGCTGTGTCTGTCAGTGTAGTGTCCAGAGCATGGAGGTGCTACCAGGAGACAGGCCAGTACATCAGGAGACGTGGAGGAGGCCGTAGGAGGGCAACAACCCAGCATCAGCACCGCTAACTCTGCCTTTGTGCAAGGAGGGACAGGAGGAGCACTGCCAGAGCCCTGCAAATGACCTCCAGCGGGCCACAAATGTGCATGTGGCTGCTCCAATGGTCAGAAACAGACTCCATGAGGGTGGTATGAGGCCCGACATCCACAGGTGGGGTTGTGCTTACAGCCCAACACTGTGCAGATGTTTGGCATTTGCCAGAGAACACCAAGATTGGCAAATTCACCACTGGTGCCCTGTGCTCTTCACAGATGAAAGCAGGTTCACACTGAACACATGTGACAGACGTGACAGGGTCTGGAGATGCCGTGGAGAACTTTCTGCTGCCTGCAACATCCTCCAGCATGACTGGTTTGGCAGTGGGTCAGTAATGGTGTGGAGTGGCATTTCTTTAGGGAGCCATACAGCCCTCCATGTGCTCGCCAGAGGTAGCCTAACTGCTATTAGGTACCAAGGTGAGATCCTCAGACCCCTTGTGAGACCATATGCTGGTGCGCTTGGCCCTGGGCTCCTCCTAATGCAAGACAAGGCTAGACCTCATGTGGCTGGAGTGTGTCAGCAGTTCTTGCAAGATGAAGGCATTGACACTATGGACTGGCCCACCCGTTCCCCAGACCTGAATCCAATTGAGCACATCTGGGACATCATTTCTCACTCCATCCACCAACACCACGTTGCACCACAGACTGTCCAGGAGTTGGGGGATGCTTTAGTCCAGGTGTGGGAGGAGATCCCTCAGGAGACCATCAGGAGCATGCCCAGGCATTGTAGGAAGTTCATACAGGCACATGGAGGCCACACACACTACTGAGCTTCATTTTGACTTGTTTTAAGGACATTACATCAAAGTTGGATCAGCCTGTAGTGATTTTTTCCACTTTAATTTTGAGTGTAAGTCAAAATCCAGACCTCCATGGGTTGCTAAATTTGATTTCCATTGATAATTTTTGTGTGATTTTGTTGTCAGCACATTCAACTATGTAATGAACAAAGTATTTAATAAGAATATTTCATTCATTCAGATCTAGGTTGTCTTATTTTTGTGTTCCCTTTATTTTTTCAGCAGTGTATATTAATTCTGCAATATTTAACATAGTAAAGTTCCCCCTGTAAATTATACAATGTTAACATAGTGATAATTCAACATACTAGTCATAATATTTATTTATCTGTTTTAACAGATAAATTTTGTTTATTTATTTTGTTTCCCTGTTTATTTTGTTCTTTATTTTGTTTCCCTGTTTCTAATTTCCATTTTTATTTTTATTCTAACTTCTATTTTTAATCATTAGTAAACTAGATCCCATGCCATATAGTATTTAGTTTGCTCTTTCTCCTTAATTGCCAGTGTTAATCTATTTATAGCTTCTATCCCTGGGCAGTAGCTCTTTTGAATTCTACTGTATAGTGCAGTGTTGGTATGGTGTTAGGGGTTTTCGGTTTAATGTGTGGAGTGTGAAGGATGTGTGTTTGTGTTTATTTTCATGGTCATGATGTGCACTCAAGATGGTGTTCGATTTCGTTGTACGAGGTGCAATGACAATAAAGTAAACTAAACTAAACATTTCCACACATTCTAATATTTTCCTAATCATATTCTCATCTGTAGGTATCTCTTCACTCTTCCAATTTTGTGTAAATACAATTCTGGCAGCAGTTAATATATTTCGGGTTGGATCCCCAACAAAAATATTTCTGGTTTTAAATCAGTATGTTGTTTTATCATTTTTTCCAACCACGTATGTATTTTTTGTCCATTTTTTTTTTTTTTTGCTTTGGAGCAAGTCCACCACATGTGATAATATCACCCAGGTATCTGGTGGCACTTCCAGGATTTAGCCAATTTGTCTTTAAACATCCTTGCCAGCCGTGCTGGTGCAAAATGCCATCTATAGAACATCTTATATAAATTTTCTTTATGTGTGGTTGACATTGTTAATTAAGCCAGAAATATTTTTTGTTAGGCATAATATCAGATAAGTATGATAAAGGGAATACATGTATTTAATAGCAGCAAGAATTGTATATGAACAGCACTAGAAAAATGAAGAAACACCTGTAGAAGAAGATGTAATAAAAAAAAATACTAGATTGTGCAGAAATGGATAGATTGGCATTAAAGATAAAAGAAAAAGAATAGTTTCGAACATGGGACTTGTTTTATCCATGGTTGGAGAATAGAGGTAGAAATTAGGAACTGAAAAAGTATTATTATGTAAGCAGATTGATCCAGACAATACGCTGTTCACAAAGCATTTATGGATGTAAAAACAAAATAAAAAGAATAAAACGTTTTTTAAAAAGGCATTTAAAATACCATTAGGGGCAAGGCATGTCTCTCTGGGATAAGGAGAGATTTTTGAGATAACTTTTAGTTACTCTGTACAGCTGGTTCTTGTAACTATGTTTTGCTGTCAGCTTATGAGCTGAGTGGCTGGGAGTCAATTTCAACAAATCAGAATAGAATTGGAAGGGACCGTGGAGGTCTTCTACTCCAATCCCCTCCTCAAGCAAGAGACCCTCTACCCTTTCAGACAAATGACTGTCCGGTTTCTTCTTAAAAGCCTCCAGTGATGGAGCTCCCACAACTTCTGAAGGCAACTTCTGTTCCACTGGTTGATTGTTCTCAGTGTGAGGAAGTTTCTCCTTAATTCCAGGTTGCTTCTCTCCTTGAATAGTTTCTATCCATTGTTTCTTGTCCTGCCCTCTGGTGCTTTGGAGAATAGCTTGACTCCCTCTTCTTTGTGGCAACCTCGTAAATATGCTCACAGTCCTTAATGCAGCCTTTTTTAAGGAACTCAAAAATCAAACCTCATTTCTTAACCATTTGGAATTTTATTGATTGCTTTGGAATTATTAAGACTCATCAAGAGAGCAGGTATTACTGCAATCACTGGGCGAGTGATTTTCTTGGGAAAAAGAATTTTAAATACAATTTTTCAAATTGGGGAAAAACATGACTTTTTAAATTAAACAGCAAAAGTATGCTTAGCATACAGATGTTTGGACCGCTGACGACGAACTAAAGGGACTGAGGGGAGCTAGAATTATAATTTTAAATTAATTAGAAGAATGCCTCCTTTGGGAATATGTGCCTGGTTTGTTTAAGTGAAAAAGAAATAGGATGGGACTTTAAGGATTGGAGACTAGAGGGAGCTAGAGGATAATAGAGAGTATAACTGAACAAAGAATGGAGCAAAATCTCTATGGATAGTTTTGAAAACCGGTCTTCCACGGTGTATGGTATGATGGATAGATGGAGTGTTAAGGAAACTGCAGAAGAGGAATAAGCTACTTGGGATAAGTTTGAAAATTAATTTGAAAATGGATATAAATATGACAAGCCACAAGAAGGATATGGAAAAAGATCTATTGGACCTACAAACGAACAAGACTGCTGTTTCACTGCCTAAAGGAGACTACCACTAAATCAGAAAAAAAAAAGAGAGAAAGAGATGGATAACTTTTTTTTTATTGGATGTACAAATAAAATTTTAGCGTTCTCCGGGATGAAAAAAAACAACTGATGTCAAGAAACTAAACTCTGGGACTTTATTTGAAGGAGTTAAAAATCAAGATAGTTAAAAGTAGAGGAAAGAGGAAATGCAGGGTTCACTTATCCACTCAAGGTTAAGATAGTTAAATCTGGTAACCCTTACTGGACTTCTGCTGGTGAAGAACAGATTTTGGATTTTGTTTTTAGTTAAGAGATGAGATACAGAGATACGGAGATACCGACATTGCATTTGTTAGAATAAAGAGGGAAGATACTTGGGGTTTTTTTTCTCTTCTTCTCTTCTCTTCTCTTCTCTTCTCTTCTCTTCTCTTCTCTTCTCTTCTCTTCTCTTCTCTTCTCTTCTCTTCTCTTCTTTCCACCCCTCTCCTCCCCACCCCTTCATTCCCTATTTGATATCCTGTGATGATCACTGAAAGTCAGAGGTGGTATTCAGCTGGTTCAGACCAGTTCTGATGTACCGGTAGTGGAAATTTCGAGTAGTTCAGAGAACCAGCAAATACCATCTTTGTCTGGCCCCTCCCACCCACCCCTGCCATTTCCTGTCCTATATTCCCTTGTTTTTTTAGTTTAGCTGATTCGTGTGTCAGAGCGAATTGCCGCGCTGCAGCTGAGCTAAAAAACAGCCCACCTCACCGAGGGCAGTCTTTGATTGCTGCACACGTGAAGCACACGCTCTCATACAACCAGTAGCGTGCGCAATTTGGAATCCTACCACTGCTGAGTCAACGTTGCATCTTTTGACTTACGATAATTTTATTTTATTGTCATGATTGTGACTTATCCCCTGTTGCTTGCATGTACACGGAGAGCTTCTGCACCAGAGACAATGTCCTTGTGTGTCCAATCACACTTGGCCAATCAAGAATTCTGTCAGACCTAAATCTTATAAATGATTGAACTTTTTTAAAAAAAATATGTTACGTAATGTTCTTCCACAGATGCTGGAATTACAGCAACCAAGAATCTGTCAGCCCATGCACATTAGCCTTGCTTTATCTACGGCTGAGGATTTTGACCAGCAACATTTTCCATTCTGATCTGGTGCGTACTTGTCCGTTGCCCTTTTGAGTAAATGCTTGAGGTTTTGTGGCTCTAATGCCAACTTCTGCTTTGTTGCAGATCTACTATTTGGGAGGCTTATCTCCGTATTTGTTGGTTGCTTTCATCATTTGGCGTTTCTGGTCTCTTTCAGGTAATTATTTACAGTAGAAACAGCCATAGTTGCTTAAACTTATAGACTTCTTCACGGTGCTTTATAGCCTTCTCTAAGCAGTCAGCCTCTTGCCCCCAACAATCTGGGTACAAAATAAAACGCCGAAGCAATTACAAATAGTTCTTGACTTGCAATGGTTCATTTAGTAGCCGTTCGAAGTTACAATATCGCTGGGGAAAAAAGTGACTTTTGGCCATTTTTCACACTTATGACCATTGCAGCATCTTCATGGTTCGATGATTGAATTTGGATGCTTGACAATTGACTTGCATTTATGACATTCCAGGGGTCACGTGATTCCCCCCTTGTGACCTTCTGACAAGCAAATCCACGGAGAATCCAGATTCATTTAATGTCCAGCGTTACCAGCATAACCACGGCAATGATTTACTGCAGCAAGAAAAGACGTAAAATGGGGGCCAAACTCACTTAACTAATTTTTCACTTAACCATGTAAATTATGAGCTTAATTGTGGCCACAAGTCAAGAATGACCTGTATAGATTTCAAAGAGGCTGTATTTCCTGTCGGTATGTAACTATGAAACTATAAATTCCTGTATTTCCTGTAAATATGAAAGTGAAATACATTTCCTTGTTGGTTAGAGAATGGCCTACACCATGAATAAGGAAGTCCACCTTCAAATTAGCTTTCTGTTTTGGGGGAGGGGTGGGGGACACCTATTTTCTGTCTTGTAGTGTGAGCTGCCTCTCCTTTTTTTAAAAAAAAAATCTAGCCGATAACCCAGCATTGCCTGGGTATTTATTTATCCTAATCCTCTATTAGACAGGAAAAGCCCTGATTTCGGTCACCTGGGACAAACGTAATTTGTAATGTTGGATTTTCCCCTTTACCAGAGAGAGCCCCTTAGTAGAGTACTGTGAAGCCGTTACTATGGCAACTCCACAGTGCTGTACAGTCGAAGCCATTTTAAGGCAGTGTGGTAGAAGCCATTTGAAGGCGCAATAGACTGTATCTTAAGAACACACACCCCAAGGGGTGATTAGGGGTGTCTTATCCACACAGTATTTGTTTCCAGAGAGTAAGTAACTTGTGTACCAAGTTTGGTTGAAATTGTTTGAGGCATTCCAGAGTTATGCTGGAACACACACACACATGCACACACACACGCACGCACACAAACAGAGAGAGAGAGAGAGAATAGAATATAGAAGAAGATTATCCCATCCCACAAATTATGTCTCTCTTGAAAGGGAGGTTGGAATGAGAGAAGACTTTGCGTACATATGTGTGTGTGTGTGTGTGTGTGTGTGTGTGCATGTGTGTGTGTTTTCTTAAGTTTTCATGGGCACTTACAGGTATGGTATTCAGCTTTGTTTGGGTATTTTCCCACGTCATTATAGTTGTGCTTTTAAAGTTGTAGCAACATTTCGGCAGAATCTCATCAGTTTTAAATTTGGTGCTAGCCTATGCTGTGCCAGAATGGTTTTTTTCTTCATCCTGATTGGTTGGGAGTCTTGGTCTGTGTTTATTGGTCTTGGAGTTT